CCATGAGATTCGTGGTTATGTCATTTCAACAGTTCAGCCGTTTGTTAGCTTTTTACAACCTCTAATTACCCGTCTCTTCCTCCGACTGTACTGTGGTCAATCATGGAGTTGTGTGCTGGGTTGCATACAGTCCTCTCTCTCTCACACGCCTCGCCCCCCTCTGCTGTCCCGATGGAGTGGGAGTGAGGGGACGGGGTGGACGTTTAAGGCATCGTGTCCTGCTGCTGGGAGGAGCTTCACTTCTGGTGAAACAGCAGCGATTTGACACTCCCAGCTTTGAATTTTGGTAACTGGTTGCTGATGATCTCCGCCAGCATTTCGGGAAACTCCACGCTGAGGGATTTATTCACAAAGGTGTAGAAACAGAAGTTCAGGAGTCCACCCACCATCTAAGGAGACACAGAGGGGTTAGAGATGTGAAAGAGCGTTTGTGATGCACTTTACTTTCGCGTGAATCCCAATTGTATCGGGTAAGACAAGATTAGGCTAGGATATTCATATCATTTTTTCTATGCACACATAGTCTCAGTTTGATCAAAAGTGGAGGAGGTTCATACATTTTGAAAGAGGACTGTGAAAAAGAAGCTCAGGGACATTTCTTTCTAATTTGATTCAGCAAAGATGCATTCAATTGATCAAAGTTACTTTTTAAGATTTTTGCATTGTTACAAAAAAAACAATGTTTCAAATAAATGATGCTCTTTTAAATTGTGTATACATTAAATATGAAGCAGCACAAATGTCTTCAACATTGATGTTTATGGAGCAGCAAATCAGCATATTAGAATGATTTTCTAGATTTTCTTTAAAATGTAAAGTGCTTTTTAAATAAAATGTATTATTATTATTATTTCTGAAGGATCATGTGACACTGAAGACTGGAGTAATGATGCTGAAAATTCAGGAATAAATTACATTTTTAAATATTTTGCAATAGTAAACAGTTATTTTTAAATGTAATATTTCACAGTATTTATGTGTCTTTGATCAAATAAATGCAGCCTTGTTGTGCATAAGAGACTCCTTACAAAACATTAAAAAAATCTTACCGACCCCAAATTTTTGTAAGATATAAGTGTATTTTCTCATCAGACTAACATGCACCGATGAACAGCACAATAAAAGGTACATTAAAAAAATCTGACCAGTTATGTCTTTAAACTAAAATGATAATTTATGCAATACAAAGACAAACCATAGACATTGGCTCTGTTCCAAATCCTTGTGAGTTGCCTCAGTAGGCAGCATCATTCATAGGCACACTCCTGAGGTGAAAGCTGTTCTAAAAAGCTGGCTTACAATATGAAACCTAGTTTAGGCAAAAAGGCATTGTTTGCTTCAATGTTCAATGTTAAATGTCAAAGTTCAATGTTATAATTTAATGAACAGTTTTGGGGGTAACGCATTACAAGTAATGCAAGTTACGTAATCAGATTACTTTTTTTCAAGTAACTCGTATTACTTTTAAATTTACAATGAAATATCTGAGTTACTTTTTCACATTTATTCACTGACACCTGTCCCCTCGTTTGTGTCAAAGGGCCTTTACAGTTGCCAAAAACATACAAATAACGTAATGCATTAAAAGTAATGCAGTTAGTTACTTTTTTAGGGAGTAACGCAATATTGTAATGCATTACTTTTAAAAGTAACTTTAATTATTGAAAAAAAAAGAACAAATATGTAGCTACTGCTGCCACACAAACTCATGTTGGAGTAGATGACAGGTGAAAGCAAGACTCTCTACTCACACCCAGAAAAGTTTGCTATTTTTTTCCACTTTTGTAAAATTACGGTTACTCTTCCTCCTACTTTCTACACTTAGATTTTGAGTGTGATTCACAGGCCATAAAAGTTAAAAAGAAAGTTGAAAATAGTTAAAGATGAATTTGACTGATGGTTCATGATTCTTATGGCCGCAATAATCATGTAGTGAACATCTGGGAATGGTTGCATAAACTGCTTAGACTAGTCTTAAATGTTAGCCATCTCATTTTTTTCTGCAAGACTAGTCAGTCATAACTTTTCAAAATCAGCAACATAAAAATGTGTATTTGTCTAATTTGAATCCAAAAAGGCTGATTACCACTTAACTAGTAGTTCTTGTAACTAGTTAGTAAAACACAGTCTTCACATAGTGACTGTTTATGCAACAGGCTCCCGATATGGTGACCCTAGTGCTGTGTGTTTTTATGCTTACTGGAGTATTGCATCATTAGCTAAGCGACATGCAAAACTCTACTGGGTTCAACTGTTGATTTGAGTCTCCCGAGAGATATATTAGTATGACAATATGACATTATGAAATTTCAAATCTCAGTTAGGATGCGGCCTTAGCAGGAGCAACTCACTAGGGTTTGGAGCAAAGCCACGGTTTTTAAAAAGCATTATTTAGGATAAAATTCATTACGTCGTGCATGGAGTCCAGTAGCTTAGTTAGCTGATAGAATCGTTGCCAGTTCTTGCTGGAGTTCTCCTCTCTCTTCACAATGGCTTTGCCCAGTTCTTTAATGTAAGACATTCGTAGCTCCTCAAACACTGACTGGCTCTTCAAACCATCCTTCGGCACTGACAAAGCACAAAAACACACAAAGGTTTTGTTACGGTCCTCTGTAAAATGAAGTAATTTGACATCAAACTATGTCATCTGGATTCTCAGGGAACCCGAAACCATTTGGATCAAGCATTAATGGCTTCTAAAGAAGTCACCTGTGCTCAGGAGCAGAAGGACTTTCATGCACAGGTACTCCTCGTTGGACACTTGCAGTCTCACAAACTCATTGGAGATCTTCAGCATCTGTTCACACTGATCAGTCATGTAGGGCAACCTCATCCTTTCTCTGCAGACAGACACACAAGACTCTAATTTAGGCTTTTATTGGCAGTTAAAGGAATAGTTCTCCCAAAAATTGAAATTTGCTCACCCTTAGGCCATCCAAGATGGAGATGAGTTTGTTTGTTGATTGGAAGAGATTTGGAGAAATTTAGAATCACATCACTTTCTCACCAAAGGATCCTCTGCAGTGAATGGGTGCCGTCAGAATGAAGTATAGGAAGTCTTATTATAGACTGGTATTTTATTAAAAAGCAACGGTTTAAAGTTAAAAACGTCTTAATGACAGCTTTTGGCTTCACAAGATGTTAACTGATGGACTGGAGTGGTGTGGATTACTTGTGGATTATTGTGATGTTTTTATCAGCTGTTTGGACTCTCATTCTGACGGCACCCATTCACTGCAGAGCATCCACTGCTGAGCAAGTGATGCAATGCTACATTTCTCCAGATCTGATGAAGAAACAAACTCATCTACATCTTGGATGGCCTGAGGGTGAGGACATTTTCAACAGACGATAACATTTTGTTTATAATGACTGCACTTCCCATTAAAGCTGGGTGTATTTTGATTGGCTGACCATGTTTTTATTGTTCATCAGCTAGAAAAAAATCATTCTGTACGTGATTCTAACGATAGTTGTGGTGTAACCTATTCGCATAGAATTAGAACTACTATTCCACACTTTATAGTTATTATTTTCATTATAGTTTCCATGGTGTGAACGCATCTTTAAACCGCCATAGAGATTATTAAAGCAAATGGCCTGTTTAATGAGAGACATACTCATTGATGACCAGGTCTGGTGCGAAACACAGCATGTTTCCATTGCACTGCTGGTATGACCTCCAACCGAGTCCGAAGGACATGAGGAACAGCCAGGAACACTGCAGGAGGGTCATCTGATCATCCAGGTGAAGGTTCCGGAACCCTAAAAAGAGCAAAACAGAGGTTTTAGTGCATGCTGCGGTTGAAGATTTTCCACACGGCTTTTTAAAGACGTCTCAAGTAGAGATGTAACGATTCACTTTTCCTTTGGGGACATAATTTGAAGTTGGAAAAAGGTAATAAATTACAATATAATCGCAGAATATCGCAATATATTTAAAATCACAATAATATTGTATTGTGACACAAGTATCGTGATAATATCGTATCGTGAGGCCTCTGGTGATTCCCACCCCTATGATTTAAGACAAATTATAAATGAGAAGGTGTCCTTTTATTATTTCTCATACAAAATGCTGCACATATCTTTGTGAAATTTAAATGTCAAATAACAAAACTAAATAAAAAATGTAAAACAAATCCCAAATAAAATAAATAAATAATACAAATAAAAGAAAAAAACTAAGACTTGGCCTGTGCTCTTTCTATGCAGGCAATTCACTGCATTTCTATTACGATCCAAACAAAGAGCAGTTTTTGATTTAAATTAGATTGTACAATTTCAAAACTTGAAGGAAAAACAGAATGTTCCAACTTTAGCATTGTGAAACTATACTACATCTGCACAAAACAAAAACAGCAGATGGGCTGAATGAGAATGCAGATTCACTCTCTGACAGCAGGTGGCACTTGTGGAACAGCAGCTGTAAACAAAGCAGCTGCGCTTATGAACACTACTTTAATACGCATCGCACGGAGGCAAGATGAAAAGAAAATACCATCTAAACTTTTCTGAAGACCGTTCCACTCAGAGACACATTCATATAAACCCCCAAGATTTATTTAAAGTGCCCCTATTATGGATTTTTGAAAATTACCTTTCACGCAGTGTGTAACACAGCTCTAAGTGAATGAAAACATCCTGCAAAGTTTTAAATCTGAAAGTGCACCGTGTATAAAGTTATTGTCTCTCAAAAGAAAGAGTTGACTCTGAATCATTGAAACGAGTCGTTTTTAAAAACGAATCCCAAGCCGTTTCATGTTGACGTCAACATGAAAAATTAGCATATTGCCCGCCCACTTGTTTGTCTTTTTACGTTGGTCTGAATGAAAATGCAAATTCATTCTTCGCCACTAGGTGCCGCTTTTGGAGCGGTAAAATAGCGGTTTCCCCGGTAACGCTGTACACAAAGCAGCACTGCGCTCACAAACGCTGCTTTATCAGGCATTACAGGCTAGATGAAATAGAAATGAAACCAATCGGACCAATCACCGCAGATTAGCGTCACGCAAAGGAGCAAGTAATCGTTGAGCAATTAAGGTAAAAATAAATGCATATTATAAGACAATGAAAGTGTTTTTTGACCTTGCATGCATGTCAACCTGTTGTTGGG